AGGAAGGCTGATGTTTCGGGCCTAGACCCTTCTTCAGAAATGGCTTTGCTAGTTTCCTTTCCGCCAACAATAGTTACTGAAGGGTCTAGGCCTGAAATGTCAGCCTTCCTGCTCCTCTAATGCTGCTTGGCCTGCTGTGTTCATCCAGCTCTACACCTATCAATCAGACCCTGGATGCAAACCCTTCCACTGGGCTCCTACTGGTCTGGTCAGCCTTCCATCTTTAATTGGATGGGGCTCCTAACTGGGGATTGAGACCAAGAGAAGGGTGGCCAGCCAAGTAACGGGTTCTCTCTCTGCTGATGCTTCAAGGCTTTTGGGACACTTCACAGCATCTGCAGTGCTTTGTTCTCACGGAGAAACGATGAACAGTTGCAGAGTGGAAGGCAGCAGGAAGAAATCGATCAATTAGCTTGTAAGGAGCTGGTAATCCGATTAAAGGGCAACATTTTTTATTTATCATTTATGAGATGTGGGTGTCGCTGACTGGGCCAGCATTTCTTGCCCATCTCTAGTTGCCTTTGAGAAGGTGGTGGTGAGCTGCCTCCTTGAACTGCTGCTGTCCACCTGCTGTGGGTTGACCCACAATGCTATTAGGGAGGGAATTCCAGGATTTTGACCCAGCGACTGTGAAGGAACGGTGATATATTTCCAAGTCAGGATGGTAAGTGACTTGGAGGGGAACTTGGAGGTGGTGGTGTTCCCATATGTCTGCTGCCCTTGGTCCTTCTAGATGGAAGTGGTGATGGGTTTGGAAGATGCTGTCTGAAGATCCTCAGTGAATTTCTGCAGTACATCTTGCAGATAGTACACACTGCTGCTACTGAGCGTCGGTGGTGGAGGGAGTGAATGCTTGTAGATGTAGTGCCAGTCAAGCGGGCTGCTTTGTCTTGGATGGTGTCAAGCTTCTTGAGTGTTGTTGGGGCTGCACCCATCCAGGCAAGTGGGGAATATTCTATCACACTCCTGACTTGTGCCTTGCAGATGGCGGACAAGCTTTGAGGAGTCAGGAGGTGAGTTACTTGCCGCAGTATTCCTAGCTTCTGGCCTGCTCTTGTAGCCACTGTGTTAATGTGGTGAGTCCAGTTGAGTTTCTGGTCAATGGTAACCCCCAGGTGTTGATAGTGGGGGGATTCAGTGATGATAACACCATTGAATATCAAGGGACTGTGGTTAGATTGTCTCTTCTTGGTGATGGTCATAGCCTGGCATTTGTGTGGTGCGAATGTCACTTGCCACTTGTCAGCCCAAGCCTGGATATTGTCCAGATCTTGTTGCGTGTGAACATGGACTGCTTCAGTATCTGAGGAGTCACGAATGGTGCTAAACATAGTGCAATCATTGGTGAACATCCCCACTTCTGGCCTTATGCTGGAGGGAAGGTTATTGATGAAGCAGCTGAAGATGGTTGGGTTGAGGACACTACCCTGAGGAACTCTTGCAGAGATTTCCTGGAGCTGAGATGATTGACCTCCAACAACCACAACCATTTTCCTATGTGTCAGGTATGACACATGATGGGTGGGGGGTGGGGTTGGGGGTGTGTGAAGGGATCAAAGGAAAATACTGTAGATGCTAGAAATCTGAACTAAAAAACAAGGTGCTGGAGAAATTCAGATTTGGGCAGGATCTGTGGAGAGCGAAATAGAGCTAATGTTCAGAACCTGATATGACTCTTCTTCGAAACACTCAAAGGGTAGAACCTGTCTTCTGCTGAGCACATGGCCAGCTCTCAGTGAGTTAGAGAAGAGTCTTAGCAGAATCCTGAGTTTTAAATGGTTTGGTTAGGAGCCAATTAGCATTGTACACTGATGGACATCCAGATTTGCCTCCTCTGTGTATTCCAAGTGGCAACACATTGCACCTGCACTCAGGTCTTCAGCAATCTTGCATTTGGAGTAAGTTACCCAATAAATGTTTACGCAAGTGTGCCTTGACATTATTTTGGATACGAAATGCCAACAGGCAGCCATACAACCAGTGCTTTCAATCTGAATTTGATACAGTCAGTCTCTACAGAAGTGTATCCAGTTAGTGTTTGATGTCGTGTGCGTTTCTCAGTGCCAGCCTCCCCCCTACCTGAGCTTTGAGCATATCCAGCATTGTGCTGAGTGAGGTCACCATCTCCTCCAGCCTTGCCAGGCGTTGCTCTGGGTTTGCAGGTGATAGACTGTGGCTCAGCAGGGGCTCCCCAGCATCACTTTGCTGCTGGTGGTATGGACTACTGTCAGATAAAGACAACGGACGTGGGGAATCCTCTTCACGCAACTGGAATTGTTCGTCAGAATCAGAATAACGCTCCTCAACCAAGGAATACGGCAAAGGTAATGAATCTGGGAAAAAGGCAGCAAATTAATTTCATTCTGACATATAATAACCCAGTTAACAGATTGAACATTACATACCACTACATCCCCTTCAGGAAGGGTCAACAATCTCCCACTGTGAAACTGTACAGTCACAGTTTATTGAGGGCGAGGGTCACGTGTTGTGTAACTGTATTCACCGTGTAGTTAGCAGGGTTTAGCTGGAGGATTATTCCCAGTGTGTACAGTTATCATTCAGTGTCAACGTAAAGCAGAACCCCCACAACTAGGTGTCAATCCAGCCCTGTCAGCGGGGCCCTCAGGAATGCCTGGAATTCCTTTTGAACCTGCACAATGCAGGCTGTGTGACTGGTCTACAAACACTCACCACCCTGGGTGGTCTGATTTATATCCCATATTGCAGTCAGCAGAATCTGGGCTCGTTTTGCCCATTGAGAGAATCACCCTCAGTGATCAGGAACAGATGCTCCATTGACAAAGACATCAGCTACTCGCACTGTATCAGACTGACAGAATCCCTCTGTCTCTAACCTGTGCTGGCAATATGATGGGACAATTGAAGGGAAACTTTGCTTTGTCTCCAAACCATGCTGAACCTGCCCTGGGGATCTGACAGAACAGACTGTTGGAGCTCAAGGTCTGTAATCTTATTACATGTGTTAAACATCAAGTAATCTTTTTCTGCTTTTCAGTTTGTGGGTAGGGAGAACTATGAATGCAACCAAACGTTAGTCAACGAAAGTAGATTTTCCTTCAGTCACACCCGCATTGAGAGTTGCTGGGGATGACTGGCTATGAAAGGAGGCTTGAGGTCCCCCTCAAACCGGATTCACTGCTCAAAGTCTGGCTGTGTCACCTGTAACAGTCAGCAGTCTCTGCCTGTTATAGTTATTCTCTAATCAATCTGCCCAGAGATATTACTGCACACCTCTGGAGCAGGTGGGATTTGAACACGGGCCTCCTGACTCAAAGATAAGGATACTGCCACTGTACCTCAAAGACCCCACTTTGCCTGTCATAGAAGAGCATTTTATAGCCACCCCCCGCTCTTTGAATGTTTGATATTAGAGAGAAGCTGCATCCTACATGAACTCAGATTACAGAGATAGTTATCTTTCTGTGATGTCTTTATCATAACTGACAGTTGCAGATTGTAGATTTCCTCACACTCTCAGACTTCTGGCATGAATGTCTTCACACCCTCCTCCGCTCCCCACCGGCTCACTCATTCCTCTCTTTGCTTGCTCTGCCTGCACTCTCTTCCCAGTTCCTAGTGTATGTTCCTTCTCTGTCCCACTACTGCTCTCTGCCTGTTTTGGTGGGCTCGCACCCTCCCCCTCCACTTCTCAGATGACCCAGCCAAATGCCAGCACCAGCTGAGAAAGCCCTTCTTACCTGGGAGATTGTCACAGTGCCATGGGCGGTGAGTGAATCCACTGGGAGAGATTTCTGCCGTCTGCCAGTAACCCTAGAGTGAAAAAAACAGTCTTAATCTCACAGCAATCCTGGAGTAAAGTGAGAGTTAGTCTGGCGGTAATCCTGGAGTGAAGTGAGAGTTAGTCTGGTGGTAATGCTGGAGTAAAGTGAGAGTTAGTCTGGCAGTAAAGTGAGAGTTAGGAAGACATTATTTATCTGGCTCACATCCACTGTGCCTTGCGCAGTGAGCCTCTACACTGACTCTGCCCTTCACAATCAGAAATGTTTTCTTAAAATTGTTCAGCTAAATTGCTTACCTTGGTTCTGTGCCTTAGACAACACTCAAAGAGTGGAAAAAGATCCTCTTTCAATCCACCTGATTAATTCCTTTTAAAATATTAAAACTGGTAATCCAGGGGAAACTAGACTAGGTTATGTATACTGTCCTCATAATCTGGTGAATCTGCACTGCATTCCTTCTGAGACCAATATATCCTTCCTAGGCTGTAGCACCTGGAACTATAAACAGTTCTTCAGATGTGGTTTAACCAGGGTTTTGTCGCAAAACTTCCTCCCCTACGTATTTCTCTAGTTATAAACAGCCAACATTCCATTTGTTGTTGTTATTTTAGCGACTGTGTACATGGATCTCTTAATCACTTTGGGCCAGCATTGTCTCTGGCTTTCAATATGAGAGAATTATTCAGAAAAATCTTTCAGTCTAAAGTGGAAGACCTTTCTCTTATTGTTTGAAATGCTTTTTTGACAGTTTTGCTCACCGACCTAATGCATTGACATCTCTCTGTAAATTTATGTAATGGCCCATAGACATGTAATGGCCCAAACATCATGCTAACAGGAATCTTGGATGGATGGCTTTCAATTGTATGAATGTATCATGAAGGTAGTTACTGGATTCTTGTGGGATTTCACTAGTCACTTCCTTCCAATGTGAGTGCATACCTATTATGCCGGCTATCTATTTTCTACCATTGAATCAATCTCCTAACCAGGTCTTAAGTTCCATGAGTTACAATTTTATCTAACAGCGGAACCTTGCTGAATACCTACTGAAAGTGTCTATGAACTGCATCCATAGACATTTCGCTGTCCATTACTTCATCACAGGTCAGAGATAAAGACAGTCCCAGTGAGAGTTAATTGATAACTCCTGTTCTCAATGACACCTTTCCTGATGACGGGGAAAGCAGCCAAGATTCCACGTGGAGATTTGAGATTGTGAAATGGGATTGTACACAGATAGGACTTTCCCAGTCCATAGGTTGCAGATATTGCTTCACAGGCTGTCAGTGCAAACACCAGGGGGAGATGGGTCTCTCTGGAACACAAACACTAAAGACCATTTGTACTGACACAGGCAGCGCAACATGGGGAGAGTCAGCACCTTCAGGCGAGAGATGGGGTGGCGGGGGGGGAAGAGAGAGAGAGCATGAGACAGAGCGAGAGAGGGAGAAACAGACAGACACAGTCAGCACCTTCAGGAGAGGCAGAGAGGAAAAGAGTGGGAGTTTGAGAGAGAGACAGTGTCAGCAATTGCAGGGGAGCGGCAGGGGTGATGTGTGAGAGAGAGAGAGAGAGAGCGAGACAGAACCTTCTGGGCGCAGACAGGCAGAGCCAGAACATTAATTGGAGGAGGAATCATTCAGTTCTGTTAAGAAATGGAGATGTGGTCCCCAGTAACTGAGCAGAGCTCTCTGTGTGTGTGTGTGTGTGTGTGTGTGTGTGTGTGTGTGTTTGTGTGTTTGCTTAATTCATTCAGGTACGGTGACAGTGCTGAAAAACATTCTTGAAGCACTGTGATCTATGTGGTCTAGATTCACTGGAGTGGTGTTAGGGAGGGAGCTCTATGATTGTGAGTGACAGTGAAGGAAAGACATTATGGCAGCGAGTCAGGATAGCGAGAGGTTTGAAGAGGCTCCTTCAGTTACTCTCATCTTTCTGGATGGTAAAAGTTGAGGCTTTGGAAGTTGCTATTGAAGGAGATTTTCTGAGTGTTGCAGTGCACCTTGTAGATGGTAGATACTGCAGCTACTGAGATTAGTGAAGGGAATGAATGTCGGACTTAGATCGGATACAAACCAAGTGGGCTGCTTTGTCTTAGATGGTGTCGGGTTTCTAGAGTGTTGTTCAAGCTGTACCCCTCCAGACAAGAGGGGAGTATTCCATCACACTCCTGTTCTGTGTCCTATAGATGCCGAGCAGGTTCGGCAGAGTCTGGAGGTGAGATGCTCACTACTGGATTCTCAGACTCAGATCTGCTCCTGTAACCACTAGATTTATAGGGCTGGTCCAGCTCAATGGTTCTTGTCAATGGTAACCCCCATTGATAGTGGGGGATTCAGGGATATAAAGACCACTGAATGTTAAAGAGCAAGGGTGAGATTCTCTCTTGCCAGGGATGGTCATTACTTGGCACTGGTTTGGTATGAATGTTACTTTTCACTTTTCAGCCCTAACCAGGTGTTACTGTTTCATTATCTAAGGAGTTATTGACGGTGCTGGACAATGTCAAAGGGCAGTGAACATCCTCACTTCTGACCTTATGATAGACAGAAGGTCATTGATTATGCAGCTGAAGATGATTGGGTTCTAGGACATAGCCTGCAGCCCTGGTATTGTCCCTACCTCTGGGCCAGGAGCCCAAGAATAATGTCCTACCTGCTACTGTAGTAAGATCTCCAAGCAGACTGATTGGAAAATATCTCCACTGATGTACTCAGTGATGACCTAGGCTGGGATGACAGATCTCCAACATCCAAAACCATCTTCCTTTGTGCCAGGTGAGTGCTATTGACTCATTTTGCTTGGACTCTTTGATGCCACACTTGGTCAAATGTCGCCTTGCTATCAAGGGCAGTCACTCTCACTCCCCTCTTGCAATCAGCTCTTTTGTCCATGATTGTTCCAAGACTGTAATGAGATCAGGAGTTGAGTGCATCTGGATGAACCTAAACTGAATGTGTGAGTAAGTTATTGTTGAGTTCTGGCCACCTGAATGAATATTGATGACATTTTCCATCGTGTGCCTGTCTGTGGTGTATGCCTGTGGTGTGCGTGTGTACAGTATATTTGTAGCGTAAATGGATGTGTTGTGTGTGTGTCTGTAGTGTACGTGAGTCTATGCATGTTTTCATGCTCTTGTAGTGTCTGATTGTGGGCACATGTACAGCTCAGTACCACAGTGAGAAGATTGCCCACACAACTGGCTGGTGGGGCAGTACCAGGGAGGGGAAATTACGCAAGCTCCCATTGTTACCAGTACTTTGGAGATGATCCACAGAAGAGGATGCGCCAGCACACAGCTACATAAATTATAATGGGCTAGAATAGAGAATAAGATGGTTGTAATTTCAGCAAGAGGATAGTTTACCACAGTAGAGGGTGAGGAACAGTAAAGACACAAAGTGCTGATTCAGTTGAAAACAAATTGGACAGATTTAATTCAAAATTTTGGAATCCAGTTTGTAAATAATTTGAGTGGCACTTGTAACATGTTTGGAAGAAATAGCTAAACACCATGTTCCACCATCTCATGTTTGTGTCTGTTACACGCTAACTGACGGTGACTGATTAGTCAACATCGCCGCTGTCATTGGTTTATGTGACTGGACAGACCTTGGCCATTTAGAGGATTGTATCTTTCTAGGCTGGTAGTCTGCTGAATGGGTTAATACTGCCATTACCGTGAACTTGCTGCTGTGGTCTCCAGCTGTACTAGAGAAGTGAATCTCCAAGTCGATGGGGAGAATGAGGCTGATGGCATCATCGCCCATGGTCTTTTCAAAGATGATGTCTTCCTCACAGTCAATGAATAGTGTTATCTTCTGAGCTTCCAGGTTGAAGGCCACTCTGCCCCACTGCTTGTTCCCAAAAGGGGTCCCTCCAGGGAAGACGACGGATGCCGGCTCCATGTTATGCACAGTTCGGTAATCCAGTCGAAGCTGGTTACTTCTGGTGCTGGACACAAGCTGTAGAAGGGGCTGTCCATCCTTCTTGGTGATGGTGGGCGAGGTAAAGGAGATCACTGTCCCCTCGGAGTTCCTGCTCTGCTTCGCCACAAAGTGGAAGCCGATGGAGCCTTGCATGGAGGTGAGGAAGTAGATGGCATAATCCCGTGGCAAGGTGAGGTGTGGCACACGGTTACGGAACTTCCAAGCGGGGAACCCTGGCTCCAAACCTTTGCTTCTGCTCACTCCCTTTATAGATCGCGTGATGTTCAGGGCTTCCAGAAGGTCGATCACTACAAGGGACAAACATCGACAGGAATGACCAGAGACATCACTTTGCCACAACCTGGTAAAGACAGTCAAGCTGTACCCAACCAAGGCTAACACAAGCAGTTCCTAAAACTGCAATGACAAGCTTCTTTCGGCCTAACCTAAAGCAGATTAACTGTGCACATAGAGTAGCAGGTTTGATTTCTGGTCTGTGTCCAATTAGCTCATCCCAATTGCCCTCTGTGCCCTTGGTTGGCCTACACTATCACATCTCAGATAGTAATACACTCTTAAGTATTTGCAGACTGTCCCAGCTGGTAGTTACCATGCGACTGGGCACGGATGTATACCCTCCAGTTACCACTTACTGGAATCTGATGCCCCTGCCAAGACACCTATTCTGTCTGCCAGCACTGAGGCAGATGGATGAAGGATGGGCAGTTGACTGAGATACTAATGGACTAGATTTCTTCAGGTCCAAGTACCTCAAAAACACAGAATGGTAGAAGGGCTCCAACAACAACTACTTGCATTCATACACAAGTAAAATATGATGGATACAGGAATAAAAACAGAAAGTGCAAGAAAAATTCAACAGAATAGGCAACATCAGTAGAGAGAGAAACTTTCAGGCTGATGACTTTTGAATCACTGTTTGTGTTCTATACAGTGTTTTGAACCGACTCAAGAATCCCAAGCTGCTTCATTCATGCAACTGAGCCACACAGATGGAGACAGTAGGTTAGGTCACCAAAGGCTGATCAAAGCCATTGTTGGTGGGAGGATAGTACAGGATAGAAAGATCAAGCGGCAAAGAGGTTTAAAGAGAAAATTACAGATTTTAGGGAACAAAAGGCACAGCCATCAATGGTGGGAAAATGGAAAACTGTGTATAAAAGAAGCCAGAAATGGAGATGTATAGAGACCTTAGAAGGTTGCAAGGTTTGCAGAACAGGGGAGCAATGTGGAAACTACAAGAGCAATTTTAGAGTCAGGACATTTCCAGACAGGGAACTAATGTAGATCGGCTGGCACAGGAGGGACGGATGAACGGGACACATTGAGAGTCGGGATAGGGACAGCAGAGTTTCGAATGGGCTGAGGTTCAGACAGGAGACCAAGGTGGAATAGATCCAGGCCCAATTCTTATCAGAGTTTTTGGGGATTGGCTGGACAGTTGATGGAAAAGACATTAGATAGTGTTGTCCCATATAACATGATGAGAATGTAGTGTGGGGATTAGGGTTTGTGGGTGGGTTGGGTAGTGTAGGATGTGAATGGGGTTTTAGCAGAGCGTAGGATGGTCAATTAGGTCTTTTTTGGAAGGTGTGTAGGATGGGGATTGGGTTTTGTTGGGTGGTAGGACAGGGATTGGTGTTTTGGGGAGGTGGGTAGCAATACTCTCTGGACCAAAAGCAGATGTGAACCATTTATTTTGCAATTTCCTTTCAAAGCTAAAATGAGAAGTCACTTGAAGAGTAAGTGTGTACAGATTGCAGTCATCCAGAACATTCCTGTCTGCATTCCCTCACCTCCCCCTTCATAACACCCTTCAGCTAAATCTCTCAGAATTAATCACCACCTCTTAGGCTGCGCTCAGTTAGGATCGGAATCCCCAATTCCCCAAGCTCTTCCAATGTCTCACCAACTCCCCTCCCCGAATCCCACACTTTCCCACATGTCACAGCCCACTCAATTCTTTAAGAATCTGAAGGTGGAAACAGCTAAAAATGAAATTTGTATAAATGGTCAGTGGGAGTCCTGCCTCAAGAGCTGGTATCTAACAGGCTCGCACAGTTTGTAAAAAAAGACAGCATGTTTGCAGTCAATACATGCTGCTGTTAGACAGAGTGGCAAAGAGGAGAGACCATCAGTCTATTTATTCTCTGCTATCCCATGCTGTTTTTCTCACAAAGACAGCAGGTGCACACTCTGATACTTCACCTCTTTCTCTGTGAGAAGCTGGGCAGTGACCAGTAACAGAGACACAGCCTGGTTCACTAGCTCATTTGTCACCAGTTCTGGACCCTAGCTAACCCTCAGATGTCACACAGCATGGAAAGTGGCCTTTTGGTGCACCAGTCAAAAAGACCCTAACTATTCTAATCCATTTTCCAGCACTTGGCCCATAGCCTACTCACCTTGATATTGTAAGTGTATATCTAAATACTTCTTAAATCTTTGTGCAGGCAGTGAGTTCTAGATTCCTAACAGCCTCTGAATGATTATTTGTCCTCACATCCCCTCTAAACCCTTTACCTTAAAACTATTTCTCCATCAAGGGGCAAAGCTCTTTCTCTGTCTCTGCCTCTGCCCCTCATAAATTTATACATCTCAATCATGTTGTATCCCCAGTGGTCCAAGGAAAACAAGTCTAATCTATCTAATCTCTCTTCATAACTAAAACTCTCCGTGTCAGGCAACATCTTGGTAAATCTCCCCTGCACCCATTGCGGTCTCATCCCTCTGATAAATGTGGATTCAGAACTGCACCCAATACTATGGTGTAACCTCAGTTTATTTTATGCAGTTCCAGTATAAGCTCCCTGCTCTGAAACTCTATGCCTCAGCTAATAAAGGCAAGTATCCCACATGTTTCCTTAAACACTTTACCTTCCTGATCCGCCACCTTAATGGACTGTGCAAGCAGACTAAGTTTAAAAAAACTAGACAGTAAGTGGACATGGACGCTCCAGCCTAGCCCTCCTCTCAATTGTACACTCCTGGTCAGTGACTTAGTACCATTTCCAGCTGACTTCTGACCTGAGAGTTAGAGCCCTGACACGTTGAGCACGCTGGCTGGCGTCCAGATGAATCTGTGTCACCTGAACCGGGGAGGGGAAGAATCGCTGACAATTGTCAACGGCTCTTGGAACTGGGACTACAGACCAATGGACCTGCATCCTATTTGTCAGTTAGAACGAGGATTTCCTGATAACCGATTGCGTTGCTACTGAGAAAGGGACAATGAGACTGCCATTTCAGTCAGACTTTGTCCTGGAAAAAGTGGTACAGGCTCAAACTGCAAATACGAAGCATTTTGATTTTGTCTGTGAATGGTCGATATGGATGACTTACTCGTCAGTTCTACACCATTACCATTGTTGTATAGGGTGAGGATGGATTCATTCTTGATTGAGTGCAGTAAGCACCACTCACTGTCATAATGTCATAGGACTTGGTGAAGGTCAAGAAGGAGCTTGTAGGAGACAGGCCTGGCTCTGGCAATGTTTCTAACAGTCCCCGCAGTAGCAAAGATCACATGCACGTACCCTGTAAATAGGTGCAATAATGTAACAAACTTCCTACTTTTTGCACAACAATGCTCAGTTATTTAGAGTAAGGAAGGTGGATATCCTCATCCACAAGCCACCTAACTGGGTTTGAAACACCTCCCACACAACATGGCGAGCAGCAGTATGCTTACAACATGGGCACTACCGTGGTTTAGTGGGCATTGGTAGCCAGCACGGTTCCAAAATAGCACCAACTAAGAGAAATTAGCATTTAAGAAACAAACACAGGGAGGTAACCCTGAAGATTTCAGGAGAAAAAGATACTGCTGATTGCTGATGTTAGCGAACCCCACAAAACACAGAAGACTGCCTCAGGGAATGACACAGAAAGCATTTCAGACCCAAAAGGCGTCACACAAAAGCAAAAGAAACTTCAAGCTCCTAGGCTACATTGAGAGTTGGTGCTCTGTGACGCAATCCTGACTGTGAGGTTGAGTGGGTGAACCAAACAGAAATTGAAGATTGTCTAAGTCAAAACCAAAAAGTCTTTGAGCAAGAGGGTAAAACAGTGAGGTAGTCAGGCCAATTGGGTATTACCTCCAAGAGTGTGGATACCATGAGGTAGGACTGGGAAAATTAAGCTAAGGCAAGCCCCAAGAAAACGCATCCATTTCAGGAGCAGAGAACCAATGAAATTGCCGACAAAGTTACTTAAAACAGATAAGTACCTGATTTTGGTCTAAGAGAGAATTTTCTTTTTGTGGGAAGCAAGGAGAACATAGCAATAGCCTTAGCAAGGCTCCAAACTACAGGAAAACATTCATTCCAGCTGTGATGGTCAAGGAGAGCTCTTCAATACAGCAATGGGAGTACCACAATTCTGCAGAACAAAAGCCTTTAAAAGGAGATGAAATAACTATTTACATTCAAGAGAGATGGTATCAGAAACAGCACCGCCAGGGAAATGTAATTTCAGAGATTGGCCGAATGGACCAGAAAATTGGACTTTCTGGAGAATACAATTGGTAAGGAATAGAACAGCTTCCAAATGGGATAGCAAGACAGCAGATGAACAAGTAAATACACTACTGTACACAATTGAAAGTACAGCAGATGATATTATTGATCAACAGGAGCTAAATGAAACAAATTCAAAGATGTGTTGAAAGCTTTTGACAATTATTTCAGTGTCTGAACAAATATAATTCTCAAGAGGGCAAGATTCAAAAAGAGTATAGTATCCATTGAAGCCATAGAAGATTAATTATCTCAATGGGATAGTGGATACATATGACTATGGAAACTTTATGCCAGAATTCATATGAAATCCAATTTGTTAGGCTTGACTGACACATCTTTTTCAGGATTTCTTACAGTCCAAGAAGACCTAACTCTAGAGAAAACTATTCACTCGGTGAATGAAACAGAGGTCTCAAAGAAAACAGATTCAACCTAAGATAAAATTTGGTCTAGGAGATCAATGGGATCTATTTATTTCTTAAGTATCAAAAAGAACCAGATAAACCAATGCAGCAAGTGGGACATATATCAGACACTACAAGTCCTTGCTAATGCTGTTGGAAAATGAAACCTTACAGATATGCAGTGCCCAGCTTTTTAAAATGGACACTTTAAAGAAAGCAGGCCACTTTCAGAAAATGTGACGAAGCACAACACATCCTAGGCAGGGATCAGTGATCCAAACAAAACATTTTGGTATGCTTTGGTATGATTTATGTTAATCAAAATCTCACAATTTTCAATTTAGGCCCTGGAGCTAGTGTCGG